TTATTTATATTTATAATGACATTTATAGTTGTAAGATTAGACAGAATTTTCTACTACTCCACAGTTCTCTTGAGGTTTAAAACTTCTGCATAGTCTCCCTGACGTTCCGGCTATTCCAGTCCAGAGCATTTTCAAATAGGCTTGATCTAGCCTGATCTAGGCTAAACTGGCAACACTGATGCACACACACACACACAAACCTTTTGCCTCACTTCACTCAAACGGTCGTAGTCGATCGCTAGAGAAATTGTTAAAGAACTAATGGATTGCTCTTTGAGTTTTTTCTTAGAGTGCATTTGAGAGACACTTATATATATAAGTATATGCACATGTATGTATGTATGTATGTATGTCAGCAGTTATTTGGGAGCTGTGTATTTAATGGCAATTGGTTCTATGACTTCAGGCAGCAGCGAGCGCTCATTCAAAGCTAGCCACGAATTCTCATTTGCTTTGGATTGTAATTTCATTTATTTAATTTAATTTAGAGTTGCACAAATAATAAAAACAAAGCTTAATTGAGAAGCCTGACCTCATGGTCCTCCAGGCTGCTAAAGGCAAGTGCCCACTCAAATGCACTCTGCATGCATTTCCATGGAGCTCATTACCGAATCTCGTGTGTGTGTGTGTGTATATATCATATTTGCATTCGCATTTTGGTATAAGCACATAATTTCGCAATTTATTGTTTATAACAAATTTATCTGCGGTTTCGGCTCGTTCGCTCAATTGAAACTTAACTAAGTGATGCGCACTGACAGCTAAATTGTGGCCACACTGCGTATACGTAATGCACTGAATACTCATTTAACTGGCGCGTGGGCAGTTGGTTAAGTTAATATGTAATTAAGCTGCCATCGGGCAAGAGTGATCCAGTAATATGGCTAAAGTCAATTATATATCCGATTTATTATGTATAAAGGGAAAAGTAAGGATCGATATTATTAGCATAATGTCTATAAAGGTCGCAAGAGAAATTTATATAGTACTATAAATACAGTAGAATCCGGTTATAACGACTTCGCTGGTCCCCAGATACACTTATATGCGAAATCTTACACGGCTATAGCGTCTTCCGGTTATAACGACGGTCCCTTGAGCGTTTATGCCTATATATA